AGCATTCCTGTCATTCCATTTTAGAGGACAAAAATTACAAAATTTAGTAAAGGAATTTCACTCACCGGAGTCCAATCTCACATCAATAATCCTCAGCCCTTGGCCTCTTCTGCTCTCTCAGGCTGAACTGCAGAATTTCTGTCTCCTCCCGCTGTTTTGTTTGCCCTGTCTCGATCTTTCTTCCTCTCCTCTCGTCTAAGTTCTCTCTCTTTAAATTTCTTTCTCTTCTGGTTTCTATAATCAGAAACAAAGCTACTCCCTTTTTCACTTTTCTTCTCAGTCAAACACCACCTTCCAGTCTACCGATTCTGCCCCGAGCCCATGCTTTTCTAATTTCAGCTTCTTCTCTTTTTTTTTCTTCTGCTAGAACTTTCCCATTTTTCCTTGCTGCGGCATCTTCTTTATTCTTGCCAGGTACCTCGTTTGGTCTCTGTCTCTGCTTCGAGTCAAACCACCTCAGTTTCCATCCCTCGTTGCTCCTCTTTTATCCCTCTTCCCTATCCTGCTCACGCCTTCTCTGCCTCAGCCTTCACCCTCTTCTCCTTTCTCGTTCCAACGAGAAAACCCTACGCTCCCTTTGTCTTCTCTGTCGTCAAAGGATTGCAGAAAACGGAAAACGAAAAGTTCCATACGCCGTCGTTTGGATATCTGGTGGATACTGGGCTTTGACTTTCTTCTGGGTTTTTCTTATTTAGGTCTGGGCTCTCTTTAGTAGCTGGGCTGGACATATGTAAAGGAGCTGGCTGTGGTTTCCCCTTCTCCTCTCCGTATCTTCTTTTCCTTTTTCCTTTCATATTTTTTTTCTTCTTTTTTGGAACCAAAAATAATACTAATATCCATAATAATATAAATTGTTAGTAATTAAACTTTTCTGTTTAATGCTTCACCTTTTTACTCTATAATTAACCTTTATATAAATTATGATATTAGTTCTCAAATTTTAATATTTGTTATAATTTAATTTTTATTTTTTTGTTATAATTTAATCCATAATATTTTTTTATTTATTTCATATGCTTACTTTTCTTTTATTTTTTAACATAAAAAATTAAAATAATCACATGATATTTGAATGCTTAAAAATAGTTCAATATTAATATTAACTATTTAATTAAATATATTTAATAAAATTTATTAAATATATATTTTATTGTTATTAATATGTTAATATAATTAATTAATAAAATTATTAATTAAAGTGTCAAAACTTAATTTAACGATTATAAAAAAAAAACTACACATCTAAAATAAATAATAAACATATGCTATTAATTATAACGAAAAAAATA